TAACGAAAACAAACTTCCATTATCGACATTGAACTCCCGAACGAAAACCGCCAGCGGACAATGTTATAATATTCAGGAGTCTTTATCTCTGTTAAAGTGAGTCTCAACCTGCTGGAAAGTGTCAAACACGTTGATCGCAAAAGGTGAGTACATATCCTTTCCAATCGCAGCGTCAAAGAAAGCTAACGGAGAAGGAGTGAAGGACCCAAAATATTGAACAGTGATAATCTGAAATTCAAATACCAAATACTTCAAATTTGTAAACTTAGAATAAACTTTACAAGTCAGCTTAATTAGCTGCAGTGAGTACTTCTATGTCTTCTATTTTAATACTTTTTTATGCAAATTCATGTTGCACCAAGGATACGGACACACTTTGAGATCTCTAAGAGATGGAACTTTCTCCATAATTTAGTTTGTGGTGAAGTAATTTCCTTTTACTAAATCCATTACTTTGAGCAGGATTCGCTTCTGTTATGTAAACGCTTTAAACGCGCGACACGGACAAATTCTAAATCCTGTGGGATTTGCCTGGAACACCAACATGACTACGGACTAAACGTTTCCAATTACGATAAACTTTGAACAAAGATATATATGTATACCTAAGGTTTGATATTTTGCATTCGGAATGACAAATTTGAAGATTTCATAAAGCATCATATCGCACTGCGAATAAAATTTAAGAAATGTAAAATGGTTTCCGTGTTTACATAGCCTGATGTAAACACGCGGGAGGTTGGGAGAACACGAGATAAGCGTAGGAAACCACGACGCGCGTGTTTACATCAGGCTATGTAAACACGGAAACTATTTTACACTTCTTTTATAAAATAAGTAATGGAAGAGGAACGAAAACCGTGTTTACATACGCTCATGTAAAATGGTTTTATGGCCGATCAGAGCGCGCGTACGATTTGAATTATTTTATAAAAGATATTACCAGATTTTAGGGTCAAACAACATTTCCTAGAAAAGAAAATAGCAACGGGCCACCTTAAACCTTTATAGAATCATTGCTCTAGAGAATTCATAGCCGACGTAATGTGACTTGACTTGGTTAACCTTCTAAAGAAAAAAGGAATTATAGAAAAGAGAATCTGTTATTCTTGGAAAATTACCGTGTAAATGCAGATCCTTCGCAAATTTGCAAAGGTTTCATTATAGTTCAGTTGGTTGAACACAGTTTTATGCGCAATCTCATAATGTCAAATATCATTACCAAATACATATGGGAAAACAAGCTTTTCTTAGTCATAGTCTGCAATTTATTTGCGACATACATGGGGTGTCATAAAAATTGTATTTCAGTTTAAATTTTTCCTCACTTTGGTCTTTGCTTAAAAGGAAAGTTAAAAATTTGTTTGAATTTCTGCGAGCTGTAGTGGGTCAAGACCGATATCCCATGGATTCTGGCGAGTGAGCGAGGCATTAGTTAATATAAATTGCGTAGTACTGGAACGGGCTCTAAACCTGAACTATTTACACTCAGCGATAGGCAACAAAGTCTTAATGTCGTACCCAGATCCTATCGTGTAATTGTAACTGATATGGCCACTTGGTCGTGAAAGGTCTGGGTACGAGACTAACAAAGTCGTAATTCCTCATCTAGTATCCTCAAGTGTATGTAACTAGAATCCAAACTTTTAAATACCTCTGGTTGTCGAGGTCGTTGATTTCCTTTCCGAAAAAATGTAGCTTGACTTAGGTTAGATCCGAGATGTTATTTAGTGCAGCAGTCAATGCCAGATTGGGAAGCATTTAACACTTCCCATATCATATACTCATCTCTACGCATTTCCTTTGGTACTGACACGGAGAATTTGTTTTCAAATTAAATCTTCTCGGATCTCCTGATCTTATGATCTTGATGAGCTGTTTAGCAGTATTGTTGTAAGGAAAAATTAGATGCTGGTCGCTCTTAGGCTTTCAAGATTAAGCGAATGTCAAACGAAAACATGATAAAAACTAAAAAAAAAAATATTCTGAATCATGGCATAAAAATCGATGACTAATGCATTTTAAAATTTGGAAACCTTTTGTGCCAGCTGAAATAACCTTGCGTTGCAGCTCAGAAATCTTATAAATAAACTCCTAAAACATTTAAATACTTTACAGCAAAATCTTGAAAAAAAGGCTAATTCTACCATCGACACGAAATATTAGGTAGGCAGAGAAAGTTGTTGTTCGAAGAAATCTATAATTCTGTCGTCGTTATTGATTTTTTTAGCATTATGAATATATGGAAAACCAGGCCACATAATAGGTTCGTATAACCTCTGTGATTCAGTTTTGTCTTCCTGTCATGTTTATCGCTTCATCAGGATGTATAATGATTTCATAGTTTTTCTTGATTTTCAAAATAATCACATTTAGAGGGCATACCATTAAAACCAATTTAATGACTACAGCCAATCAGAGGAGACGAAAATACCATGAGAAGTCGATCAGAATTCAGAGCGAAAATAAGCAAGCTGCTTGACGAAAAACACGATTGACCAAGTCGCAAATGATTATATAAGTTTGAATCTTTAAATCTGAGAATGAATGTAAGAATGGTGCGATTTTCCTGAACGGGAACCAAACATGGTCAAATCAATGCAATACCGGATTATTTTTGAATTTCAATTGAAATTGCTCCTAAACTTAAGGGTTATTTTCATGGAAGCAAACCACATGCATGGCATAATTCGTCGTTAATAATGGATAAATCAAGGGAAGTCTTATGCCTCTCGTAAAATTACAGTGAAACACACCTGGAAGAAGAATCTGGTAATTTACCGGTACTGTATGTTTCGAAATTGTAAGATCTTAATTAATCGTCTTCTTCATTACTTAAGTTAACCTGATCGTAAGTCTTTACAATGTTAGCGAAGCCATCGATGAAAGCTGTTGAAATTTAACTTCATGATGCACGGTAATTTATTCCTTTTCGGCTTTTAAATGTTCTGTTTCTATTTTTTATCCAGTGGACGAGTCCATTATGCTAGACCCTTCTGCAAACAACATCATTTTTAGCCCTGGTAAGGTTTCAAAAAAAAGCTGCACCGCGCGCCGATAAGATTGTTTATCACAAGGCAAGATAATTAGTCATAATAGTTTATATATTGTCGCACTCGCTTCCGTCACTCTGTAATTAAAAGAATCCTCTTTTACCCATCTGCATTTATTTATTTCACGGCGTTTGTTTTAACTCTACTAAAGAAATCGATCTGTTTTGGCGGTTATTGCACGGAGCAGACATGAAACTAGAAGTGCTACTTTTATTTTTCGTTGGTCGTATGTCGGGCCATGGCGCAGAGGACTTCTGTCTGGAGACCAAAAGCTCGATATTGCACGATCATGTTCTAGTTGGCCATGTGATTACCTCGTTGGTAACCCGTGGATTTCTCTCTTGTGCTCAAAGATGCCTGTCAATGTCGCCGTGTTCGTCATTCAATTATCAAACGTCAGCGGTAAGAGATGGCATTTGTGAGTTGAATAACAATGAAGATGGAGCGGTTCGTTCAAAGGTGACTCCGAAACATGGATTTGCCTTTGGCCAGATACAACGAAAAGAAGTAAGAATTTTAAATTACAGTGATCAACATAGATTGAAGCGAAAACAATATTCCTTGGGTCAGTTTTCACCTGCTTTAGTTTTCATTTCATTTTTTTTCTGTAAACGAGATTTTACAGCATTATTTGCCATGTACAATAAACACATATATCGTGTTTCTTATTGACCTAGCTGAAAATATCGAGTTTATGAAATAAATTTCGTCGTTATCAAATCGTTCAATTTATTAAGTATTCAATAGAGTTAATTTTTGTAAAATATATTGAGGTAACAGAGGGGCAAAAAATATTGACCACGAAAACACAATCAGCCTGTTTCAGTGATTTTTGAACTTTTGATTTTTAGCCTTTTACCATGACGTTGATCACAGCTGTGAGATGATCATCTAGCGAAATAAGAGTCATAGCAAAACTGTAAGAGTTTGTATGGGAATATTTACGATCTACATAGGAGGAGTCTCTTATATAGTAAACCTAGGAATGGATTATTCAGTGAAATGGGTTCTTCTCAACAAAGTAAGCGGTCAGATAAAAAGCGATGCACTGTGGAAGTGAGGTGAGGTATTTTCGTCGAGAATTTGATTGTATTTTTTTTATTCCCAAGAGCGGTCGTAAATATTCCCATACAAACACTTAAAATGTCACCATGGCTATTATTTCCGTCGCAAATTGATCATTTCACAGCTAGAGCTTGAGCCGCCTGTGGTTAAACATGTCAGTCAAAATCCCGATCAAGGACACGTCACCTTGTCAAAAAGAAACGATAATATTTGAAGATATACAAATTTAACATAGTTTTCTTTTTTATTCGATGTCAATTGCTGTGTTCCATCGAAGTTTACTTTCGTTGTATGATCGTGTCAAATTCCACCACCATTACTCAAACACAATAAAGTGACAAACATCATTTTTCTAATTCGTGACTTTATTTTTAGTACAACTATTAAAAAATAAGGCCTACCACAGGCTAACAGAAAAATATCTCGTTTTCTAAACGCCCCTATATAAAAATATATGGCGGATTTTTCAATCAAGAAACGTCAAACCTGGCATGTTATATCAAAATATCATGAAATATTAACAAAACACCTTTTGGTTCTATCTTTTTTTACCGTAAGAAACCGCACAGCTGTCTAGAAGCGGCGCACAGAGGTGCCCGCGCATCTGGTTTCTACTGTATCCAAGACGGTGACGGTCATCTCTATAAAATGTATTGCGACCTGGCCTCTGAACCCGGTTGGGCCTGGACATTGGTCACCTCACAAGGCTTAAGCAACAGGGAGGAACAATTTGCGTCGGTAGGGCTACTTGTTGATTCTCCAAAGAATACAGAAATGGCCAATTGGCAAGCTTACAGACTACCGTTAAGTAAAATGACGAAATTAAAATCTCAGTCAACGCATTGGCGAATAACGTGTAGTTTCCCAACACTTGGTGTCGATTATAAAGATTATGTGAGGGCAGAATTCCAGAAATTCGATATTCTGACTTTTATGGCAGGCAGAGAGTGCAAAGAAGTGGAGTATATCGATGTTCGAGGGCATAATTGCTCACAATGCACCGTAGCCTGGGGACAGAAAAATAATCTTTTCTTGACACACCGCAGTGACGTCAACGAGTGCGGGCGCGGCCCCACTCCACATAACATTGATGGGGAACAGACTTTCGGACGGTACAAAAAAGGGCGAAATCCAAAGTTTCGATGTACTTCAGCCAATTCATCCACTACCAACTATTGGTTTGGCCACAAATTAAATTTAAAGGATTCGTTTGATTGAGCGGTTTTTTAAAGTTTTAGTGTCATAAAGAGGAATGTTTTTAGATTCGTTAAATTTTGAAGGAAAGGCACACCATATATTAGATTCTAGCGTGCCAGTCTTCACCATTCCAGTATCACTTTTACACCTTCAATCTATGCCCTTGGACCGGAATGTGACGGCAATATCCACGAGGATCCCAGACAAATGGTGTTACCTTTTATGGGGGTATGTCACCACGACTGGCCATCATGACTGCACTGAGGAACGTGATTTACCAACAGCCGATGAGGCAATCACTAAAACTGTTTCACAGAGAACTCAAGGGGCTCGGTCATAGTGCTTTCAGAGGTACTCTGGGCTACCACAGGTAATTCTCAGGCAAAGTTCTTTCAATTTAAAGTCAATGTCTTTTGGCAAAACAAAATTAACATAGGTCTTTCTGTTATATTTTCTTCAAAGAAAATCCTCAACGAAACAAAACAAAGCCGTCTATTGACTGCAATTAGAGACAATTGATGAAACATTTTTCTACAAACAGTTCAAAACAGATTGTTTGTATCAGAGGAAGGCCAAGCACAATGAGCTGTTCATGAACGTTGCAAATGTTATGGCTTTCAATATTAATTTTTTCACTCGTGTCAGCACGCGTGTGATGTCACGCACTCCTCACAGTATTTTAAGGAAAAGTTATCTTCGTTAGGATCTACTCGTTACCAAATACCGTAATGGCTATTTCCTTTAAGGAGGATATCTATACTGTGATGCTGTTGAGTCGATAAGTAATTTAAGTGATCTATGGTATTTCACAAAATACAGTGTTTTCTCTCTCTGCAGATGTTTTTAAAGTTAATGTTCAGTCCTTGTAATTGCATCAACAACACAGACAAACAAATCAAAGATATAGATATATTAACGAGAACGTTGTCCTGCTTTAGAACACAAAACCTCATGAAGTACAGAAGAGCGCAGGCTTAGATGGAGATAGGGCGCGGTGATCGGGCACTGTTGGATCACTTGGAAACCATTGATATGCAAGTGACCAACCTGCGGTACAGCACATGATTTACGGTCGCCATAGCCCTATTTAACTGAAAGGTAATTTAGTGTTAACAACTGAGTTGAAAACGTGAATTGACTACCGTAAAGTGTTTAAAGGCTGACGTTTCAAGCGTTAGCACTTCGTCAATCGCTCTGGCAAAGGGCTAACGCTCGAAACGTCAGCCTTTAAACTGGTTACGGTGGTCAATTTACGTTTTCAACTCGGT